AACATTTAACCATTCTTCTGGAAATAAATCAAGTAATCCTTCAGTTAATAAATTAGTAACTGGAATATTATAGAGCCATTGTGTTTCAATAAATAAGTTCAATGCATCCAAAAAATATATATTTGCTATATATTCATTTGCACTTGCCATCTAATTATGAAAAAAAAATATATTTTTTAAGGATAATTATTAACTTATAATTATAATTATATTTTTGTATTAAATATAGTACAAATATAATATTAACTTTTATATTATTTATATATATATAAGATTTATTTCACAAATATATTACATTATATTACATTATATTTCATGAAAATTGCATTTAACTATTTTATATATATATTTTACATATATATTTAAATATAGATTTAAATATTTATTTTTAAATATTTATATAGATTTAAATAATTTTCTAATTATTAATAAATAAAAATAATAAAGAAACATATTTCTCTGCAATGTAATTTTATTTATAACGCGATTAAAAAATTATATAATTATAATATGAATATTATATATCATGTTACATAATTACATATATTGTTATGTTTATGTAAATATATTTTATATATTTCTATATAAATCAAAATTATGATAATTTATAATTTCTTAAAAAAATAAATTATATTATTATATTTATTTATCTTGTCTTATTAGAAACTTATCAGCATTCAAATCAACTTTTATTGTCACCGTTATATTTATTTTTAATTTTTTTAGAAAATTTAATTTGAATTAATTCTTAAAAACTGTTAATTAATATTTCAATCTTCGTTGCAATATGTAACAAAAAATTGACTTATATTTTACTCAGAGACAATTTAAGCTTTCATATCTTTTAAACGAGTATTCATAAGTATTCATATCTTTTAAACGAAAATTGTGTGTGCACAGCAATATTCAATTAAAATATTTAAGCATACTGGACATATTAAATTTCTAAGATTAATATTTAGTGATGATCGTGTCAAAGAAGTTGATATTCGCTTCAAATATATTATCTTGTCGTATTCTTTAAAAAAACATAAAAATCATCATTTCATTTTAAGAACTATAATTCTCTTCTAAATGGAATATTTAAATAGGCTAATTTGAATTATCTTTTATCAGATAGATATTGATATATAAATATAATAAATTGAATTCATTCAATGAATCATTTTTTATTTATATACATAAATTTTACAATTATTTTTTTTGATATTTTAATTAATATTTTATAATAATAATAATAATAATAAAATAATATTAACATAATAATAACAAAATTGACATTGAACAATTATTAACAACTTAACAATTAATAATGAAAAAAAACAAACAAAAAATGAAAATTATTTTATACAAATATAAAATAAAATTAAAAATTTTAATTTTTCAAAATTATGATCATAAATATAAATAAACATTTAAATTTATCAACATTTATATTTTATATAATATATTTAAAATATCTTTTAAAAAATATTTGTAAAATTTAAAAAACATTGTATTCTAAAAAACATCACATCATAAAATCTCTCAAATTAATAAATTTAATTTTCTAGAAAATTTTATCAATTGATAGATATGTGTGACAACTTAACAAAATTTGTAATTCCTATCAATGAATTATATATTCATGTTTAAACACAACATTAATGTATAAAATTATTAAAAAAAATTTAACATAAATATACTTTTTTTTGTAAATATATCATAATTAAAAAAATACTTTTTATTTATTTATTTATTTTTGGATATAATTATTATTGTATTTAAATATTGTATTTAATTGTATGATTTAGTATATTGATAGAATTTATTTAAAAAAGTTAACAATATTTTTGTTAAAAACGAAAATAAAATGTGATAAAAAATGAAACAAAAAAGTATTATTATTATAATACTATTAATATATCTTAAATAAAATAATAATAATTATTCATATAAATGATTAAAAATAAATTTTCATTTTGCATATAGGAAAGAAAAAACAAAATTTGCAATATTATTATTCTTTCATAGTAATAAAATGATCCATAAGAGCAACAACAAAATCCAAATTCATAACAGCAACATATTTCACAACAAGTACATAGTTAACAATAGCAATATAATTCATTACAATAATCATATAATTAAAGATAACAATTGGATAGTTCACAAGTGGATAACATAATCAATAATAATAACTAAATAATTCACAAAAGTAATAAATATATGATCAAAAGCAACAATCAGATATCATACATTAACAAATATGATTTCATAATCAATAATATCAATAACAATCAAATGTTTTACAGCAGCAAGAACTATTAGCAACAGTCATTTATACATTTATATATTTTATAATAGTTATCTCATTCAAAATAATTATAACAGATAATATATTATATTTTATGTTATATTTGAATAAAAATGAATTTTATATAAGAATGTTATTGATAATTCATTTTTCATTTCTTTTTTTGATTTAGGAAATTACTGTTGTTTTAAAAAAAAATTAGGCCATTTGTATGCATGAAATATATTTAAATCAAATATCAAAACAAACTTATTGGATAAACAAATCAGATAAAAACATTGTTATAGAAACAAATATGCTTAAATTCATTTTTATATAAAATTTTCAAACATATATATTATTATATATTATAATATATATTAATCATAACACTACATAAACCAATTTTTATTGTAAACTTATTGTAAACTTTTTGAAGAACTTAGGAAAAAATAATATCCAAAAAAATACCCTGTATTCAATGGCAAAAAAAATATATATATAATGTAAAAATTCTTTCTTTTGCGATAAGTCATATGATTATAATTTGTTTCAATTCATTCATGATATATATTCAAAATTTATATATATTATATATATTATTTAAATTTTATTTTTTCAGAATAAATATATATATATATTTATATTTTAAATATTAATTTTTTTCTATTTTTATATATTATATATAAAAGAAATGGAAGAAGAAATAGAAATTTTTGCTTAATTAGGAAAAGAAAGAAAATTTTAAATATATTTAAATAAAGGCATTTTTGATTTGTCATGCTTAGCAAATCTAAAATACGATGTGTTCTGAAAATAATCAAAATATATATAAACATGTATATAAACATTGTAAAAAATATATATATATATTGTATATAAATGTATATATAATGTATATATATAACATTGTAAAAAATGTATGTATATGTATAAATATTAGATATTATTAATTACATCATGGATATCAATATATAATGATAATTTATTCCATATTATGATCATTTAAATAATCAAAGTTAAATAATTAACATAACATAAATAATTTTTGTTATTAACAGTTTGATCTATTTGTATATTATATAACATATTATATATTATAATCATGTTAATTATATATATTAATTATATGTAATATATATATTGTAAATCATATAATAAATTCAATATATTTAAACTCTTAAATAATATAACATTTCATTAAGTTGAAGTGATTTGGTGATTATAATATGAGATCTCGGTGCTGCGGAATAATACAAAATTAAATCATTCAGAAATATTTTACGAGTCTTTTATTATGAATAAAATGAACCAAAATGCAGATTGATCAAATATAAAATAAAAAACAATAATGAAGAATTATATTTTTATATTATATTAATATTTAAATAATATAATAACAATAATATAATATAATACATAATATAATACATAATACAAAATAAATAACTTAAATATAAGTTTATATAATGAAACATGAATATATAATTTATTTTTTAATAATAATTTTATTTACTGCTTTTATTGGGAAATAAAATCCCAATTTCTTTTAATTCTATTATTTATTTTTTTTATATAATAGAATAAGTCTAACATGTTTTTTTCTATTTCATATGTAACAATTTTTGAGTTTTGAAATTCTAGTTGTAGTTTTATAATTGCATTTATTATTTTTAATCTATTTCTAAGCTTTACTTTTTTGTTTTATGATATATTTATGATGAATATATAACCTATAAATATGTTTCCATGTTTGTATTGGAATGTGGTAATAGTAAACATAAAATTACTATATTTATATTTATACATATATATCAATTAATATTTCATATCATATTATATCAATATTTTTTTATAATATATTTTTTTATAAAATCAATTCTTTTTTAAGATTTTTAATTATAATTTTATATCAAAATTTATCTGTATTTAATTTTACATTTAATTATAATTCTTTCTTCCCATTTGTAGAAAAATAAAATGATAATATATGCCATTTATTCAAGATTAAAATTTTATGAAATTTTATTTTATATTTACTTTATAATATATATTTTAATATGTCTATAATAAAAATGTATATTTAGTATAT